TATAATAGAAATGGTAATGATTAAGCTTAAAACAGTGAAAGAACGGTTACAATATCTCCTTCAGTTTATCAGCAATAGCAATTTAAAAAGAGGGAGTGACTTTTCAGACACCCTGTAGATTTCATCTATGCTTTTCGTTTTTGAGTGGGTTTATATAGATGGTCAAAATGCTTTTGGCGGGATCAGCTTCATAATTGCTCTTAAAAAGTGGAGCGGTTCTTCGGGAATGGATATTGTCTAAATGAACTAATGCACGACTTGCATGATAATTTGGCAACATCCCAGAATGACTTCTTAGTTGAAAAAAAAGGAGCCGCCCGTATAACGTCATTTGCAGACACCCAATTATTATCCGGGTACATGCTAAGCGAAGGGTGCGAATGTGTACTCGAGATTTTTCTTTAAAAAGAATGAAGGGGGTGAAGGCGATGGAGGAAGACGTTCTTGATCCGGACGGCCTTTAGAGCCCAAACAGCTGGATAGCGTGAGCGAGGGTGGAGGTCGATATTGAAGGTTCGAGTCATCCGCAGCCCCCCCCCACTCCCTTTTCCCTCTCATTCCCTTTCCTCGGCCGTCTAGACCCGAGGCAAACCATTCATGTATCATTTTTCCAAGACGATTCCTAAGATTAGAAAAATAAATTCATTTTAGATAAAGGATGTCCCGTTACAAGGAGGAATCTTTGGTCCCAAGTCGAATCAGAATCGTCCAGCTGTCCGTGATGTGTCACGTTGTCAAAGTCATGATGGTTTGTCTGAAAACGAAAATGCGAAATTCATAATAATTAATACGATGCATTTTAAAAAGGTCCAACTTCCCTGAATGAATAAAACCTTGAATTTGAATACGAGGAAATGCTTAGAAAAACTAAAAATGAAATGAACGCTAAAGTAATTCATATACGCAACAAATATTGTCAAATGAATCAGGCTTCGCATAACAGGACAGTCATCAAATTAACTCCGCTCCCCTCCCCCCCTAATGAAAATGATGTTTAAGATGGGTGCATATATATTTTTTTATTTTTACAAATTATTACTAGGATGAAGCATGCCCTTCATGGTGAGGCTGAGCAGAATTTGGGTGAATGACGAATAATGCAGAGTTGCAGACAGCAGCTACCGTGATCATCAATGCGCTGACCCTCGAGGAAATGAACTTCGTGACCTGTTACGGCTTCCATTCCGCATTCGACAACAGATGCCATGGTTTTTTTTGAGTAAAAATGAATTCCCCACTCCAAAAATGAAGAAAAAGAGCGAAAATACATCCGCACTATCGTTAAAACAACGCGAAAGAGAAAGTGGAGTACCTGCCCAGGTACCACCCAAGTTTAATATAAATAATCGTTATCATTGTTAAAGCATAGCCTTATATGAAGGTCCCGGACTGCTAAATGCTCTGGATGGCTCGCGCGTCCGGGTCACGTGGGGATGTAGTATGAAGAGAATATGTAGTGTAGGATATTGGAAGAGGCATTTCAAGCGTACGCCCAACAACCCTGTCTACGTGACTGTTAGCAGCCACTTTCTCCTTCTCTACTATGAATCCGTCATCTGCGGGGGCTGGGAGGGAAGTGGATGCGTTAGTCGTATGGCCAAGGACCAGTAATAGAATAGGACTGGACACAGAGGAAGCGGCACGCTTGCACTCCGCGTATCAACATGGATGTCGATGTGCAGGCAGCGCTCCAAGCGGCTGCTGAGGAAGAACACAACATTGCCCAATTGTAGTACATGGATTCCATCCGTCTCCGACCGTTACTCTCTCAGTTTCTTTTGTCGTGTGCACCTTATCAGGAAGATGAATAACACTATGAAACCAAAAAGTAATGTTGTTGTTGCCGATGGAAGTACTTATTCTTCAATATTATCAGACGAGGGGAAGAGGAAGCGGTCGAGAGGCAGCATGCCTCAGCTGACAGAGCTTTGAGCATTGGGAGCGAGGTGCTTTACGTGTTGTACGTGCAGTTTTCTGTGCGAACGTGAATGAAAATTAGTTGTATGAAGCAAACTTGAAGTTATTCAACTTATCAGGTCTTGATTGATTTTGTGTTTGTGTTGTAAGGAGAAAATGTTCATTTTTCGTTTCAGAATACAACCAGTTTTCATGAGTTATTTTCACTGTTATGATGAAAATTGAGAGTTCATTTCAATATATGTAGATGGATCTAGAGTGCCCTTGGACGACCTTCAGGGTTAAGGAGCACATCCTTGAGACGCAATCATGGACTCATATATAACTTACTGTAATCTTCAATACTGATATACGAGGGATAATCCAAAAGTTTCTGCCCTGAGGTATAAGAGAATGTGACAGACTGTTTCAAAATGTTTTATTTTCCAGCATTACCTCCCTGAACGCAACTGCTGGTCCGATCGTTGGAACAGTGCTTCAAATTTATTGGGAAATTTTCATTTTCCACAGTCAAATAAAAACGCATAAATGGCTTCACCGAAGAGAAACCATTGTCAGTTTCACCTTCATGGTCGCTTCACAGGAAGTTTTGCTTAATTTTTTTCTAGTTGAATGAGCTGTTTTATCGGGATGCTTACATTTATTTCATGTGAATTGCTTAATTGTTTAAATACTAAATGCAAATTAACAAATTGCTGTGCATTCAAAATGGTATAACCTGAAACTGAAATTTTTAGTGGCTGAAACATGCCTTATATGCAAATCATTATTTAAATTACTTGTGCACCTAAAACCTATTGCCAGCCCTTGAAATTACTGAAAAGGATGAATGAATGGAAAACAAGTTTCAGCTCTTACCGATCATTCCTACCATCTCACGGCAGAAACTTTTGGATCGCCCCTCGTATTTTGGGGTCCTGGAAATCTGAAGACGTGTTTCCCTCCCGAATTTCAGTCGTAATTCTTACAGTTAATAGCAGAACACCTGCGTCCGCCATGCTTCGCTCTGGATGACTGCTGATACGCGATTTCCAGAGGAATGTCCAGTCCTCTTCCATTACTGGTCCTTGGTATGGCAACATAGAGATGGAGAGACCGTGTGATAACGTCGCACTCGTCTCTTTGAATTTGGCACTCCCCGCCCGCGCCATACAAAGCGCTTGCTGAATCACATCTACTAGGAGGTTTCATATATGAGTTGACGTGCGATATGGAGGTGGGAGTGGCCAATGCCCCTCGCTTGCTCAGGTATGGTACATGCTGTGCTCAGATAAGATATCAGATGATTCACAAGACTGGTATCTATACGTCCCTCTCTTTATCTTGGATTCCATTACTTGTGAGCTATTGGAGACAGGCATATGAACCGATCGCGCTTGTGTCTCTGGCTTTTTCAGCTAAACACTTCAGGAGTACCAGGTCAGTGTTCCTCGTTTTATAGTTGGAGTGATGACATTTTTAAAATGGAAATCGAGGTCATATGTCAAGGTCGCGAATATTTGTTCTCATTTTAATGAGAACAAATGAAACTGAAAATGAATGAAACAAACAAACTCTGAGATGCAAGGGGCAGTTCACATGTTTCCATATCCATCAAATAAAACGAAATCGTTTTGCAAACATGATAAATGCATTGTTCTCTTTTATGTGTAGTCCGTTTTCTTCTACTGGTATAACTGCGATATTTTCACCCACATGTGGTGGCACTGGGTGAAGCTTTTTTGGGTAAGTCGGAACCATTGCCAAATCACCTTTCCGAGAGCACTTTGAGACGGATAGTAGATACATAGATATAATGGAATGTAAATATTTCTGTGGAGTGCTCAATTTTTCCCTGTTCCTATTATTTCGAGTACTACAGTGCTGCTTTGAAAACTTGTTGATTGCCCCTCGTAAATATCATAGAAAATATAATGAAGTGGACTCGATAAATTCCCAACTTCGGCTGTAAGTTATTTAGAGCCTCATGGGCCTTTGGGTGATGACCACCTAACTTGAATCGGTCATTTTGGGCAATATTCATATTTCTGCATCCCAGAAAGTACTTGATTAAGAGAATTCAAATTTGACATGAATTATTTTTCCCATTAACCATACCACAAGTACCACAGTATGTTAATGGCACGTGTTCTCAATGTTGCCTATGTTGCTCTATGTTACAAATTGATTAACAACATCAATGGAATATCGTTATATCCCAATATGTATGCCTATCTTCTAATCGAGAATAACAAAAAGTGATGTGGACACAGAGATCCATATGTGTCATTGCATACAGGAAGGTGCTGGACAATTATCGTGCCACTGTTTTCAGGGCCAGACGAGGCAAAAACCAGACATAGGTATTATTTATAAAACTCCTGAGATTGTAGTTTACTATGTTGTACACATAGCTTCATTTCTAGCAATAATGCCCACATAACATTACTTTGAAATGTGTCAGGTATTTATAGCCCACCCGGCATGTAATGAATATGTAATGATTTGTAACNATTCGTTTCATGTGGTTTTCCTTGTTTCATCACGTCCATAGTGCAGTCCCTGAAGCAACTGCTGAACCAGTTGGGTACATCCAAGGATACCAGTCAAAATAAGACTCAAAAGTGAGCTCATTACTGCCTTGATTCTGTTTCCCACAAATCCAATTACAGCAACAACACCTGAAGCCCTTCGAATTTGACTGGAAGTAAACTTGAGTCAAATTCAGTGCCATATAAATATAAATGCGTATGTCGTTTGTTAGTTAGGCCATTCGATCCTATAGTTTAATATTTAATATTGGAATAACACATTAACGCATTCCCAGCTTGTCCTATCCTATTACAAATTAACCTCATTTCACGAAACACTGCATCTATAACTAGTGCTTTACATCGTACATTTTCACACTGCATCCTATGTGAATACCTAAAGTATAAGAGCTAACAGTGATGTGAGCTTCGAGAAATGATGTGATATGAAAGTCTTTGAGTGGGTACCAGACGGGAACTACAGCGCCGCACGAAGCAGATGGCCGAGGACACAACAGCCAAGATAAAGACACTCCAAGCCCAACTCCGCTCCCTACCCAAGGAAGAGCAGGTCAGTATGCTTCCTCATTCTTCGGGCAGTTGTAATATTTCAAAACATATGATTAGGGATTATCGCTGGTAAGATAAAAGCTATCTAGGTTTGGTTGCACTGGCGGATGGAGGACGCATCGATACAGCAAGCGCGAAATGCCTCAGATGCATTACTTCGAAATTTGACAAGGTTCCGTTAAATATTGGGTTGATCGTATTCCTGAATATGACATTTACATGACATTTACTGAAAACTAATGTGAATATGCATGATGTGTCATCCAGCTCCTGGGGTTACGCTTGGCTACTTAGCAAAACTTATTCATTTATTTTGAAGATTCATTTGTGATGAGCATGTTACTGATCAGACGGAACTTCGATTGCAGAGGGTAAAGAAATTACAGTTGGACCGCCTGAGGGAACACTTGATTGAGGTGATGAATGAGTTCCAGAGCCTGCAGAGAGAGGAGCAAGACTCCAAACGGCAACAGAGGGAAGAGCTCCGGGCGAGAGCTCCTTCGCTCACTGTCTTCAGTATGACTTTGCTCCACACACTCCCTCCTTTTCTATTCTTTTTCCACCACTTCTTCGGGTCATTCGATTCTGCATTTTGTAAAATATAATGTTCTGGAGATGCATTGCTTTCATTCTTACTGAATTCCTCTCTCCATTGGCAGTGTTTGGCTCCATTGGCTGTTTCTGATTTAATTGATGATTCTTCATTCATAATATTATACCATTTTACTGCCTCTTTCAGAAACTAGCATGCTACACCTCGCATCTCCTGTTTCCCAATGATAAATTTCAAACGTCCACCCAAATGTTTGTCTCCCCGTTAATCAGATCAAGCTTCAGGAATTCAAACGCACAGAGATGAAGATAAACCTGTCTAGATTGCGAAAACCCTGTTTTATTGCAGTAAATAAACTTTTTTCCCGCAAATAGAAAGGTGTAACCAAGAAAGGTGGAAGTTTCATTGAGCGTCATAATAGGCCACTCGAAGAACAAGTTGGCAGGAACGGTGGACAGAGTGGAGGCTAATGCCATCCCTTTTTCCATAAGCGAAATCAATACCTAATGTCTTCGACGCATATTTCCAATTATTAACAAGTTCAGTGGATCAGGCTCTGAGAAGCATGTTTCCTTAGCGTTCCTATTCCCATAGACGCATTCGCATCTCTGCTGGTTGTTCAGAGTGTATAATTCATAGAATTTTCCTAGGCTCATATTAACGGACAAAATGTTGGCATTGCTTGAAGGATACACTGAATAAGTCTTAATTATTAGGAAATGTACCCATGTTAAATGTACTCAAAGAGGGATGAGGGTTTTGTAAGCATGTGGCTTTCGTGTGACATTATCCCTATAGAGGGACGATGTGATTTTTTTTTTCGCTTCTTCAACTCCTCCTAATAATATGCGAGATACAGACTACAACATATTACAGACGGTCCAACTGGACGGGCAGAAGGGAACGGAGAAGGAGTCCTGCAGGAACCGAATGCATCAGAATCGGCAGGATTCCGAGGCGAGATCCAGGCGCATACCCTCATGTACGAGGAATTAGACTTGGCTGCACTGCGAGAAAAGGAGTTTGCCATTCAACAACTGGAGGTATACCTGGGTGCCCCTTGGCCTATTTCTGTCTCTTTTGTCCCGGCAGCTTCCTCTTTTAAAACATACTTATTGAATACGAGAAGAGGCCCTTAGAGTTGTTTTGGAGCTTGGGCCCTCTTCCATTTATGTGCTCAATCGTCAGATTCCGTTGACGCCAGTGCAATTCCTGTAATTTTAGGGACTGATAGATACAGTCTAAAATTTGACATTCTGAGTTCACAGTTCAATGTGATATTGTGATTGAGTCAGAGATGCAACGGGGTGCAATTCCACCTTTGCATTCATTCGTTTTTGGTGAGCAGGAGGATATTCAGGACGTGAACCAGATTTTCACGAAACTGGCAACTATGGTTCACGACCAATGGGAGATCGTGAATAACATCGAGAGAAACGTCGATTATGCCCAACTCAGCGTCGACCAGGGCAACCAACAGCTTCAACAGGCAAAATCCTCGCAGGTGATACTTTTTATCATTGCTACTCAACGGTTGCACTTCATGTCTTTTGAAAATAGCTTTGAGACACTCCGTAAGATTTACTCTTCTTTTGACAATATTTCTCTTTTTGTCATGTGCAGGTTCAGGTTTATAAGCTTTTGGTTCCATATTTTTTGGCTCGATGCCGCCTCAGTTCTTTTGTGCTACATATCATTGCATCATTGTGATATACAGGGTGGCCTAAAAGTTTTTGGTCCGAATTTTAAATTACAATATTTCGAAAACTATGAAAGCTAGAAAGTCGAAAAAGGTGCCAAATTAAAGGTCAATTCAAGATCTTTTAAATGGTATCAGGTTTCCCAGTCATGGGTGCCATTGCATGGCCGCCACGGCCGTTTGGAAAAAAAACCATAAGCAAAAGAAGTTGTAAACGGAGGAAAAAAAATTAATCTTTCTACAGCAGAAATGGAGCTAACCGTTTAATTTTCAATGAAATGTTCGATGTGACCACCTTCTTGATCCACTACAGCATCCAATCGTTTCCGCCATTTTGAAATGGCTTTTATGATCAAGGCCTGCGGAAGGTCATCCCACGCAGCACAAATCCGCTCCTTCAAGTGCTCAACGTTGTGGATTTTCCCATATCGATAGACTTTCTGCTCCAAGGCTGACCAGATGAAGTAGTCGATGGGGTTCAAATCCAGGCTACAAGGTGGCCAATTTTCAGGCTCAATAAATTTGGGACAGTTCGTTTTGAGGAAGGCCACGGTTTCCTTGGCTGTGTGGGCTGGGGCTTCATCTTGCTGGAAGACAAACTCTTGGCTTTTCTCCTTGATTTCGGCCAACATTGGGGTCAAAACGTCTTCGCAGTAGCTTTTGGCGTTGATTTTGACCCCACGGGGAATGGAGAAAATTGACGTTTTCTCTGACGAAGTGGCAGCAAGTGAAACCATGACTGATTCAGAGAAGTGTTTGCGTTCGTGCAAAAGACGGACTGGCGCGACATCATGTTTTCTTTGAACAGCAGCATGAACACGGTCATTTTGGGTATTTCGTGGGGTTTCAACAGTGAACCGCTTCTCGTCTGAGAACCAGATTTTTTTCACACCTTTGTGGCTGCGAAACCTGTTCAACAGTCTTTTGCACCGAACCAGTCGTTTCTTCTTGACTGCTATGGACAGCTCATGGACAGGAACTCGCTTGAAAACTTTCAGGTTGAGGTCGTGTTTGATTATCTGTTGAACAGAAGAACGTGAAATCCCCGTTGCTTTCGACACTTCTCGTTCACTTCTGCTTGTGCCAGGATTCCCTTCTTGGCTCAATATCAATTCACGAACACGTTTGATGTTTCCTGTTGTTCGTGCAGTTTTTTGGACGACCTGTTACGGGACGACGATCCAGTTTCACTAAGTTTTTTCAAAAAGTAAATAACAGTCGATTTATTTCAATTTCGGGTTGGACATTCTTTAAGAATCGTTAAGAATCGGTTCCACAAAAGTGACTTTTTCCTTGCAAAGTGCACGAATGATGTTTTTATCACTTTCCGATAACCCGCGATTGACACCCATTTTTAGCCCCTGGGGTAAGAGATACCAAAATTCAACCTAACGAAAAAAAAATTGTGAGCACAATACCGTAGGCAAGCGCACCGGAAAAATCCACTTCTGCGGTAGACCAACAGATCAACACAAGTGGTCTGAACATCAAGCACGTCTACGGACGCAGATTATTCTTCGTTACACTCATTGTCAATCCAGTTTTGGCGCGAGAATGACAAATGGATCATCACGGGGAAATGAAGAGATGCTTAATGAGCATGAAGAGAAGTAACCAGCCGCCAATCGTGTTTTCCCGCATTCCCACAGATACCCGCCAGCAGCAGCAGCGTCGAAATTGCGCTCTTGCAACTTTTTTTTGGGAATGGTTTTTTTAAACGGCCGTGGCGGCCATGCAATGGCACCCATGACTGGGAAACCTGATACCATTTGAAAGAGATTGAATTGATTTTAATTTGGCACCCTATTCAACTTTCTACCATTCATAGTTTTCGAACTATTGTAATGTAAAAATCGGACCAAAAACTTTTAGGCCACCCTGTATATATATATATATATATATATATATATATATATATATATTATCGGTCCAGTGTTCATTTTCAAATAATCATTTGTTGAATAACACCTACGTTCAATATGATGGACACGCGGTAGAAGCACCATCGAGAAGTCGATGTTCACTTTTGAATGATTGGTGAAATTGTTCCATTGAAAATGAGATAAGGTAATTTTCTGCTCCATGTCGGTGAACTGCCAGTTTTAAATCGTTGCATTTTCTTTCACTTACGGAAAATGGCAAGAATTCACAGCATTTTCGCTGCGATAAACTATCAAAATCACAATTCCTGCAAGGGAATGAATGTGATTCAAAAAATGGCTAAACTAAAACTAATCGGTGACTCGTGATTAATAGCAGTAGGACAGTAGCCCTTCAATGGAGACATGGAGGACACTCTCTACCCTGCCTCCATCGACTCGGCACTAATACTGAATATCACGATCCGCCACTGGACCACTGGAAAATGAAAGTTTAAAAGTTGAAAGTGACGAAAGTGTTTCAAATGCAAGAACCATTCACTATCCTTACTAAATGCATATGAAAGAGCTAGTGCGAAATCAGGAGCAATATAATTCCGATGCTTATTAAGGATAAGTCATATTTCCTTCCATAAACTGAATTCCATGATTTTCCAATGTCATATTCAACTTAGAAGTTAAAAAAAAACTTTCGTTGTGATATACATAATCAATACTTTCATTCGTTGAACATCGTGACAATGCAGGAGACCAAATTCGATATATTTAATCATTTCCTGTGATAAATTAAATTGTAACTATTGGTTTCCAGGCATCAATAAGATGGAAGAAGTGCATAATCGCATCGATCGTCATAGTCTGCGCCATTGTCATTGGCCTCATCATCTACTTCTACACCCGAAAATAGATTTAAAACTGATATCTGGAGAAACATCCTCTTCCCATAGTGGGGATCTGAATTTCCCCATGGTCCTGTGCAACTGTGATGAATACCATAATTGCTCTTACTTTTTCTTCTCGGAGCCTGTCCACATGAAAACGGAAAACCTGCGTGTCCAGCTCACTTGAATCTAAACGAGTCGATCAAGACCTCTATTAGTTGCTGTCGATAATATACTGTCTGGAACATCACCAATAAAAATGTGGCCAAGTATTGTGGTATTGTATACGTTTCCCCTTCCTTGCTAGAAACTGTCACATTCACTGGGAGCGTATTGAATCGTTGGATGTCACACACAGCCCATAAAAAGTTCGTCATCATGCAACGATACTCAACGTTAACAATAACATTCAGTCTTTAACGGATCGGACATATTGTACATGCACTCTGAATGATTTGGCGACTAAGACGAAGACGGTCCAGGGGTCTTCTTGCGTATGGCGGGGGATTAATCAGCAACATTCATCAGCTCATGTCAAGGTTGGAGATCCAATTGGAAGCTGCTGGGGTAAGCTCATGGATATCGTCCAAGGCACAAGCAGTGGGCACTGATGGATAATGTGCTGCTTGGTTTGGTCTTTGAAACTGAAGTCACATCTGGGGGTGGTCTTGATTTTCCACCGGTGCAAGAGGTGGGCGCAACGACCGTGCGAGGTGCGGATGCGGTTAAGCATGGTCCACTGCTTTCTTGGCAGGTCGAAGCCAGTAATTTCTGTGGTGGGATCAGAAACGAGCCTTTTGTTGGGGACGATGGCTTTGACCTAGAAGACTTTCTACTGTTCCTCCTGGTCAAAGGAGGACGCGTCGAGAGTAATAGTTTTGACCCAGGGCGGGTTCCGGTATTTCAGCCGGGTCCTCGGAGGATTTTTTAGGCCCTCGTTAATTGGAAGATCAGGGTTGGCTTTTATTCGGCTAAAGATGCGTGATGTCTGCGGGTCTCTGCGGATGTTGGGAGGTGTAATATGGGAGGGCATTGACAGCCATTCAACAGGGGTGGATTTTGGATTCCCCGAAATCAGACGCATCGATGCGTTGAGTTGAGCGTCGAAGCCCTTGGTGTGTGCGCTGCTCGGCCAAACAGGGGCAAAGTATTCTGCAGGCGAGTTAACCAGTGCGCTGTTTGTAGTGTGCGCACCCAGGCACCCCACGAGGTTCCGGCCAGTTTGCGCATGACACTGACCCTAGCCTTCACTCTGTCGCGTGCCCTTTCGAGGTGGGGACTGAAGGTGAGGCTGCAGTCCAGGGTAGCGCCTAAATATTTTGGCTTGGCCTCATTATCTACTGGATGGCTGCAGAAGAAGACTGGAAGAGTCTCTTTAGCGGCGCAGTTGTCGAGGTGGAATGCAATGATTGACGTTTTAGTCGGGTTCGCGCATAGTCTCCATCTTTCATAGTGCTTCGCTAAAGTGTCCAGGTCAATGGCGAGGGTGTCGCGATGGCGGAGAGTGTGGCACCCTGCGACGCGAGCACAATGTCGGAGGTTGTTTGCGGTAGATCGCTCGTGTAGAGGTTAAAGAGCGACGGAGCAAGGACAGAACCTTGTGGCAGTCCGTTATTGATTGTACAGGGTCTGCTAATTTGTCCATTTAAGTGCACTCAAAGCAAATTTGAAACTTTACTCATCCAATCGCCCACTATATTATTCCCATTCAGACTTGAAGATTTCTGCGTCGAGTCAAGTCTGCATCTGCAGCACTGCGCAAGGATGTTATATTCGGTGATGTCCTCTTGGAAAGATCTCTCTTGCTTGCATTGAAGTCAAGAAGTCCGTGCATATAAGCTGCCTGTTATCTGAAAGGTCTCCTGGTTAGGCAAAATATTCCGTGAATCCCTTGAAGCACATTGATATCATATGAGAATCGCCAATCCTGAATTCCTTTTGGCGACTTTCCAATAATATTCCTTAGTCGAAGTTATATTTTCAAATGTTGACAACAGTAATGGGCTGAATACATTTGCGTTCTTCGCTTTTATATGCATAGCAAATCGAAATAGCATTTCATACTTATTATTTCCTGAGATAAATATGGCTCTAAAGAAGAGCATTAGTCACTAGTATCATGGCTTTACTCCGTCTTTAATTACTAAATTTAATTACTAAAATTATATTCCTATATTCCGTTTACTGTATTCCGTCAATTAAATATGACATTGCCTTTTACTACTGAACTGGCCGATAAATTTAACGCGA